CAGGCTGGGCAGCCACTCGTTCCCAATCCACTCGTGGTTCATGTCCCCATATGCGAGTGTCTGTTTGTGATAAACAAGGAAGACAGTCACAGAAGGAGTCACTAGAGCAGTTTAAATAATCTTTAAATAGAATTTTTAACCAATTGCATACTCCCAAATGCTAAACTAATGACAACATTGCTCTTTATAATTTCAAAATAATTTGATCTATTTCCACAAAATAATTTGATCTCCTATTTTAAATGTTAGTAAAATTTTATACAAAAGGAATCATATCACTAAAAGTCCATGACTTGTTTGTGACAAATTTAACTTATTTGCCAAACCACAATAAAACTGTAACTGACTACAAATTTCCCTTCTGAAATAGTTTTTAATATAATAATACAAAAACAAAGAATGATCACGACTCATGAACAAGTTTGAAGGATCAATTCAACTCTACTCATTAAAATTATCTCTGGCTAGTTTTAATTTTACTTATTTATTTTGGTGGCTGGCGATCAATTTTATTTTTAACACTTTGTTTTTCTAAACAAAACATGTGTTTGTTTCAAAACCAGTAAAAGTGAATTAAAAAATAGTTTTAAAAACATAAAGCAACAACTAATAGGACTGAATGGAGAAACACCCAAATCCACAGTTATAGTCAGAAGATTTCAACACTCCTCTCTCAGTAACTGAACAAACAAAAAACCCCCAAAAAACAATAAAAAACCCCCAATAAGAGTACAGAACACTTAAACAACACTAACAACCAACTTGACTTGACAATTTATAGAACATTCCACCCAACAACAGAATATACATTCTTTTAAAATGCACATGGAATATTCTCCAAGACAGACAAATCGCAACAAACTTAAAAGAGGCTGAACTCATACAAAATATATTCTCTAACCACAACAGAATTATAAATCAGTAATAAAAAGTTATTTAGAAACACCCCACATACTTGGAAATTAGTATACTTCTAAATAACTCATGTGTCAAAGAAGAAATCTCAAGGGAAATTGAAAAATATATTTAATTGAATGAAAGTGGAAACATAATATATTCAAAACCTGTGGGATGCAGCTAAAGCAATGCCTCGAGGAAAATTTATAGTATTAAATGCATACATTATAAATGTAGAAAGGTCTCAAATCAATGATCTAAGACTCTACCTTGAAAACCTTGAAATACTAACAAACCCCAGCCAGACTGATCAAGAAAAAAAAGAGAAGGCACAAATTACCAATATCAAGAATGAAAGGGGATATTAGTACAGGTTCAATAGGCATTGAAAAAATAAGGGAATGCTGTCAACAATTTTAAGCACCTGAAATGAAACGGACAAATTTCTTAAATGATAAACTACCAAAGCCACTAACTAAGAGACACCTGTACCTATTAGAACCTGGAACTCGCAGTTATAAATATTCTCTCACATACATACAAATCTTTACCCTAGATAGCCTTACTGGTGAATTCTACCAAATATTTATCACAGTAAATTAATAAATCCCCAC